CCTTCTCTTCTCTTCTCTCATAACTTAAGTTTTCCCTTCTTCTATTTTCTATCCTAAACTCCCAAACTTAGCCTAAATTCCTGAAGGGGATTGAAGGTTCTTTTTACATGATTAGTTTAGGCATATGGTATGCATGTGTGAAATAACTTGGTGGCTCTTTTGGATTCTAAATTCCTGAACAAATCTTTCTGCAGGTTGATTTAAAATGTATATCTTCTTTTCGTGCCAATGACTGTTTAAATGTAATTTTTATTCTAATTCAGCTTAGGGGTTTTTAAAAGTTCTTTAGTCTAACGTGTTATTGTTTTGTTGGTTACCTTTCTCATTTGTTAGCAGTAGTTAGTGATAATACATGAAGAAATTTGTAGCCAGACTATAGTGTATTGCCATTTGTTATGTTTGGAGTAGCTGATTATGATATTTAGTTTTGATGAACATGGAAATGAAAAAAGGAAAGATGCATTGATGTTTGTGGTTTTTGCACCATTTCAGCATAGGGAAATGGAAAGGAAAGATGCACTTTCTTTTAAGAGGTTGCTGGCATGAAATGATATGATTTTGATGTTACCTTTCTCATTCATTATTATTAGATTGTGGCAGCATGAAAAAAATTGGAATCACCAAGGAAAGCTAGACTCTTTTGAATTGTCATATTTGTTTCTTTAGAGTCCAGACCAACAGTTTGGGTCATATGGCTATGTCCAAGGTGTCATTTGCTGGGCTAGGTTCACTAAATTGTAGATAGATTTCAAGTATGAGTTGCTGGAAATGATCACAATATGGAATACTGGTAGGTGAGACTGTGAGAGTACACTTGCAAAGCAATAGATATAGCTGATTGATTGAAATTCTTCATATGTATTATGCAGAATATTTATGTTTGGAAATTTGCATCTAGCATTTTTATTCCCCTATTTAGGTGATCAGCTTTAATTCTAATGTGTTGGAGATTGGTGTTGAAGAAAGGGGAAAAGGTAACTAAAAAGCAAAATTACTATACATAATATTTGAAATATGTCTTACTCTTACTATTTCTTGACTTCCTTTTCTTTATTTTTTTGCTTTTTGCAGAAATGAAGACTGCACAAGAGGTTGCATTGCCTATTTCTTGACTTCATTATGTTTGAGATAATTTGCATTTAATTTTCTTGTTATGATCTTACTTGTGGGTCTTTAGCTGTTTTTTGGCTAGTTTTTTGTCCTTTTTTCTTGGCTAGTCTCTGGCTATTTTATGCTAGTTTTTTGGCTGCATATGTTGTGAATTTTCACATTTTAGATACTCTGCAAGTTTGATCTCCACATGTTTTTGAAAGTTTTTTGGCTGGTTTTTTGACCCTTTTTCTTGGCTAGTGTTTGGCTGTTTTTTTGCCAGCTTACTTGCTAGATTTTTTTGGCTGTTTAATGTAGTTAATGTGCGCATTTAGCTATTGTGCAGAGCTGAGGACTTGAGGCGGACTGGAGAAGAGAGTGGGGAACTCATGGTTTTTTTGTATCCTCATAACTAATAAATAGTTAATTAATTAATCAAGCAATCTAAATCATAGGATTATGGCAATTCAATTTGCCTTCTGTAAAGTTCAGTCGGATAATTTTTTTTGTTTCTTTAGCATAATTACAACCATTTAAAACTACTTTGCTTAGAGCAAATTGATATATCCATCAAATCGAAAAAGAGAAGATTATGTGTTCGCAATGCAACGTGATTCTTTTGCCTATAAATTAATTGAAGAGTGTTTTTCATAAATTTAATTAAAGAGTATTATCGGTTTAACACAAGTGCTCCTTCATCCCTTTTGGATTAAACACCTCTAACTAAACAACAAAATGAAATTCAAATAAGCAAGTATACTATTTTAACCACAAAGGACAAATTTCACAAACAAACATTTTTTAAATATATATATATACACACACACACACACACTATTAATTTATAGAAAATATTTTTATATACCCAATAAAACTACAACTTGAACTTGCATTATAGCAATTCTAAGAACAGATTTGTTTTCTTCTATACACATACAGATGTTAATATTCAACTTACCCTTACATGGAAAGTGGATCACCATATATAGTGTATAACCAATGCTTTTGGTTCATAAATCCTTCTCACCAATAATATTCTGTGTCCATTAAAATTTTCTTTATGCCTTGGATAGCAGCGTAGCACCTCCAAACATATTACCTTGTATGATTTTTGTGCAAAGCTTCTGCGAAGAACTAATTATAAATAAATAAGTCATGCCAATTATGAATAAAACAAAGAATTATGTGCATGGTTAATGAACGCAAATGTCATATGCCTAGACTTATGCTTTGGATGAACACCTAGCGCAGTGGCAATATGGATTAAACGTTGGCATGCAAAATTCCATTCAACAAAAAAACAGACCAAAATGAACAAAGACTTGATCACAAAATAGATACGTAGTTATGTATATCTAAAGTTGCAGCTTGATAAAACCAGAAACAAAAGGTTACCTGACTTTTACCAAATTGGATGCCTCAGTGTCTGGAGCTGAAATAGATATTTTACGCTTTGAAAATGTCTCAGAGTGTAACTTTGGAATGCCTACAAAGTTGTACCCAACAATTCATGGAAAGATGATTTGTAATTGATGTGGACGACAGAGTCAGAATACGCATATATAGATGCGCATCGTAAGCAAGTAGTTTGAAATACCAATTACAGCCGTGAACAGAAACTAACAGTCACATATTGCTTTCTTTACTACCAATATTGCAAATTTTTTTTTACTTTTTCAGTACTTCTTTTGTAGGAACTACCAATGATGAGAAAGGATTAAGAAGGCATAAAAGTCGCATAATTTAGATTGTGACTTGTGAGAGTTTGTATTAGGCTCGATTTCTTTCAACAAATAGAAGAAGACTCGTGTCACAAAAATTTAGGCTCGTCTTGTATATATAACTAAATTTAGTCACTTCCTAGAAGTACTTATATATGCTGTTTAACCTTTTAATGTATATATAACTAAATTTAGTCACTTCCTACTTATTCAATGTCATGTTTCAAATTTCCATATTCCTTATTATCTGATATTCAATCAATGATGACAAAATTTTGGTGGGGTGATGGTAATAAGGAAAGGCCTATTCAATAGATAAGTTGGACAAGCTCTGTAAAAAAAAAAAGAAGAAGGGGGAATGGGATTCAGACAACTTTGGGCTTTCAATTTAGCTTTGCTTACTAAGCAAGCTTGGAGGATTGCCACACAACCTTTCTCTCTTTTACATCAGATTTTTAAGATCAAATATTTTCCTAACTCTGATTTCTTTTTGGCAAGATTAGGTTCACGACCCTTATTTACTTGGAGGGGAGATATAAAGTGCGTAAATATTGGTTGCAGGGAGCAGAAGGAGGGTTGGTAATGGAAAAGGTATCCAGATTTGGAAAGATCGATGGTTACCTCAGCCTACAACTTTTAAGATTGTATCTCCTTCAGATAGGTTGCCGGAAGATACTACAGTACATTACCTGATTAACAGCAATAGAAGAACTTGGAAACAAGATCTTTTACAAGAGTTATTCTGGCTAGATGAGATAGAATTGATTAAGAGTATTCCAATTGGTGATACTCATAATCAAGATAAACACATATGGCATTTTACAAAAAATGGATTTTTCAGTGTTCGAAGTGCTTATTATTTAATCAAGCACCAATCCAGCAATTGGCAATACATAGCTCCTGGGAGCAACGAAATGACAAAAGGAATCTAGAAACAGTTATGTAAGTAAGATCAAGATTTTTTTGTGGCGGGTTTGCAATGATATTCTACCTACGAATGCCAAACTCAAAAGTCGAACAGTTTTGCTAGATCCCTCTTGTGACCTGTGTCAATCTCCAATTGGTGATTTGAATCATCTTTTTTTAATGTGTCTAGTGGTTATTCAATGATGGGCGTTGAGGTTTTTATCTGGTAAAATCATGTTAAATTCAGCTCATAATGTGGTATCCTAGTTGTCTAATATCCTTATAAATTTGAAGAAGGAAGACACGTAATTAGTTGCTATTACACTTTGGAATTTATGGAATAATCGTAACGGGGCTGTATTTGATGGATCATCTTACAAGGACACGCTCAGTTTGGTATCCTTCTCGTTATGTTTTTTGAATCAATTTCAGGAGGCAAATAGGAATTCAATGGCTATTGAGCATACATATGCAAGTCAACAATCTATTTTGTCCCAGTGGAAAAGACCTCCCACGGATAATGTTAAAGCTAACTTTGACGGGCTGTCTTAGCTAGTTGTGACATATCAGGTATTGAAGTTATTAGAGATGTTGAGGGTAATTTCGTGGCAAGATTAGCAAAACAAATTTAATGAATTTTTTATCGAGAGGTTATTGAATCGTATGTTACAAAGGCTACGGTTAAGTTTGTTAGGACCCGAAAATTTTCTTATTTTATCATATATTACTAGTTTATTTAAATATTTATTCATTCGTTTTCTCCAAATAATTTATTTCAACCTTTTTGGAACCATTTACATGGAACTATGACTTACATATATTTTTAAAATGTCCCATTAATAAATTTAATTTTTGGAAGCTCTTTTAGCGAGATTTAGTGAAACCGCGTTTGGAGGCAATAATTGATTTGAGAGTATAGTGATCTTGGAGATTTGAAAACTCGTACGTTAGTCTTAAAATAGGTATTTTTATGAATAATTACCCTGGTAATAGTTAGTTATATTATCGTTATAAGAATTTCTTACAAATTTCGCTTTATCGCGCACAAGTCCAAAGTTCGCGTTTTCGCGCGCGCGACTAATTGGAGGATTTTAGAAATTATTGTTAGACTACTAAGAGTGGATAATAATAGTGTTAGAGGAAGTGCATTAAAGGATTAGTGCACAAATGAAACAAACCCGAGAGGAAACAGACACGAAACGCGCGCGTACGCGCATTATTAGAGAGTTGACTTTTGTGCACTTAAAGCTTACACCTATCAAGCTTCTCCAAGAAGCTTTGCATCAGCACTATCTCTCTCTTTTCTCTCTCAAGGCAGCCGAACAACCTCAAGGAAGAAGAAGGAACCAAAACTCCATCTCATCTCACTCAATCTTGCATCTTTTCACCTCAAATTCACCGTACAAACTTAAAACAACTTGGAGATCATCTTGGACTAGGAAGAGGGCTTCATTCTCATGGTTTTCTTGGAGCTCTAGTGACCGAAATTTTCTGGTTTATCATCATCTAGGAGGTAATCATCATCCAACTTTTGAATCTTAGTTTTATTAAGTTAAATTTCACTTAGAAGCTTGTAGCTTCACGTGGGTAACTTTGGTTGGTTGAAAATCATGTCAGTGGGCTCTATGAAATCCCACAATGGACTTGTTGGACTGATATGATGATTTTGAATGTTATTTATGTTGATTAAGTGTTAAACTAGTGGTTATATGTTGAAAAAGTGGAAAGAAACTCAAAGGAAACCAAAGGGAGGGAGGGGCCGAATCTGCCCTGCTCTTGCCGCAGCCTTAGTGCGATTTTTTTGTGATCAAATTGCCTTGATTTTGTTGTAGATATGTTGTATAGGTTATGTGGAAAGTTTCCACCAAAAATCACTTGATTTGGTTGGCTAAAAGTTGAATTTTCGTAATGATTTCAAAGCTGGAAAACGTGTACAGAGGTGCTCCGGCAGCGAGTTTTAAATGATCATAACTCTTTTCTCCAATGTCAAAATTGAGTGCCGTTTATGGAATTTGAAACTAGACACTTCTAGTTTTCTAACGGTATAAAATGCATCCCCTGATTCGACTTGAGTGAATCGTACTAGTTTTTCAAAGTTACCTGTTCTGTTTTGTTGCTGTGCTAGAGAGTCAATGAGGTGCTGGGACTTGTTGCTTGAATTTAAGCTAGCTATGGATAGAATTTCAAAACGATTTATTCTAAGAAATTGTAGCCTTATGAATTTAGTTTCCAACGCCACCAACCGTGCCCCATTCTAAGTTGAATAGAGTGAGTTATGGCCAAATTACAAACCTGCACCAGAGAAAGAAAACCCTAACTTTGGGCTAGCCGATGGCTTAGCTCGAATTGGGACTTGTTATTTTGAAACTTTTGGTGTTAATCACATACCAAATGTATGTTGAATGTTTCTTAGACTTTTCCTTCATAAATGAACCATGTTTGAGATGATTTCATTGGCTAAAGTTTCGAAAAAAGGAAAACGTAATCATAAGGCAGAATTGTCTTGGATATTCCTGGAACTTTAGTGGTCTTGTTAACTGACTTTCCGTACGAATTTTTTCATGAAATTTGATAGAGGGGTAGACCTCATATAGTAGTGTAATCATACCAAATTTGATGCCATTCCAAGTCCATTTCGATGCCCAACTGAAGTCCTAAAGTTCATGTTTCAAATCTGGAAATTCTTGATCAATGAGGAATTTAGCCAACTTTGAGCTGCCATATCTTGGAGCTCAAAACTTTGATTTTAGTTCTGCTTGTTGTGTTTTAAACCTTGATTGTAACTCTAATTGAGTTTCAAATTTGAAAGGCTAGTTCACATTCTGTGATTTTTGCTGAATTTCCAAAGTTTGCCAAAAATCAACCCCGAATCTGCCTTAGAAGTGCAAGTCAGTAATTTTAAGCCAAAATTTGAGTGTCTTCGTTTTGAATCATGGAAAAGTGCCTTCCAAGAACTTTTAGTACTTTAGAAGTAGTTTCCAATGGTACCAAGGTTTCCAATTTTGGACCTACAAAGAGTGAGATATGATTTTTCAAAGAATGCACCTCAAATATGAAATTTCTGAACTTAAAGGAAATTGAGTTTTAAGGACTCTTCATTTTCCTTCAATATTGCTTGACCATTTTACACTTGATTTCAAGGATGAAAATCAGTTTTTCTTGTATTATTAAACCCCACTTTTGAGTTTCGATTTACGAGTAATTAAGGCTCTCCTTCATGATATTTTCTTAAGGGGTTTAAAAGTGATAGTGTGTAATTGTAAACCCCACTTTTGAACCCCACTTTTGAACCCCACTTTGTATTATTAAACCCCACTTTTGAGTTTCGATTTACGAGTAATTAAGGCTCTCCTTCATGATATTTTCTTAAGGGGTTTAAAAGTGATAGTGTGTAATTGTAAATTATTTGCTCAGGCATTCAAGGAGACCTTCAAGAGGATCTCATAGGGGACGCCTAAAATACTTGATTGTGCGCCACTCTTGTTTTGACTAGGTGAGTGTCAAGTGCATGACTTGATGTATTTACTTGATCTATCTTGCTCATATACGTGAATGTTACTTGATGAGACGAGTGTGTACTTTATCGCACTCGCTCTCCTTTACTTGCATTAAACTTGATTTTTAAAGTCGATTGGAGTGAATCTCATCGGCAAAATATACATGTTTTCGTGTGCATGTCGTGTTATCGTGCGTGTCGTGATGTCGAGTGGAGTGAACCTGCTCGACTTATGGGGACGCCCAATTCTCTTAGCCAATCTTGCAAGTCGAGCCGGTATGGGGTTAGTCGAGAAGCTTGATGAACCAAGAGAATAACAAAACAAAAATTGATCTTTTGAGATCTTGTTCGGCATACTCGGCGAGTATCGCTCTTTCGTGCGTGTTTGGTTACGGATCCGAGAGGGTGGAATGATGGATGGAGGAAGTAATAAGTGAAGTTTCTACGGACATAATACCTACTCGAATGACGGAGTGTCATTACGAGGGGGTATCGGATCGAGCCGTGGCGAAGCAAGTGAAAATTAGCTCCTGAGAGCTTATGTATCCTACTCAAGTGTGTTTAATTGTTAATCGTGAATTACTTGATTTTATCGCTTCATTTATGGCATAAATGTTATTGATACTTGAACTACGTGCTTGCTTGACTTTTTTGGCCTCACTGAGTATTGTCTCATCCCATTAGTTTGTTTTCCTTAACAGGAACTGGAATGAAAGATGTTAAGGAAAGGCCGACTTGAGGCACTTTTGTATTAGTGTTTTGATTGTAATCGACTAGAGACTTTTGGATGTTGTATATTTTGGGGAAAGTAATTGTAAGTTTGAAATTGTGATGTAAGATTGAATATTTATGTACGGAAATGACTTCGTACCTTTATTCCGATTTTCATTGTTAGTATTAGACTTTAAGTTTGAATTGGAATTGTCTCGAGTCCTGGCGAGAATTGGGCAGGCGTCCCGCGGGTACCCTTGGGTTCGCCCTTGGGAGAAGTGGGGGCGTCACAAAATTGTTGTTGAATCTTCATTTGCACATGATTATTCAAGGTGATTGTCAAAAAGTTATTAAAATGATTCAAAGTATGAATACGGATGCATCAACTTGTGGACTGCTTGTAGATGATATTCTCATAGATATACAAACCTTTGCAACCTAGGAAACATCATGGGTGTCTAGAAAGTTGAATAATATTGCACACTGTTTTGCTAAATATGCTTGTTCTATTTCTAATGATTGTATGTGGAGGGATATCCTTCCAGATTTTATTGTTACTGCACTTGCTGTGAACATTATCTCATATTAATAAAATTTTCTTTTTCTATCAAAAGAAAAAAAAACCTTTTAACGTAGTACCATAAAATTGTGGGGGTAAAAAAAACACATCTGACTCTAGAATTAGAAGGTGCAGTTTTAGATTGCTCCATTTGGTTAAGGGTTGGTAGCAATTTACCCATAATCAGGTATTAGATTCACAATTTCTATTCACAATGAGATCTCACTACATCTCTTAATCAGAAAAAAGCTAGGCTAAGCATACATTTCTAAGCTTTGGAAAATGTCTGGGCCCACTCAACAGGAGAAGAGTGACCTCTTCAGTTTCTAAAGCTCCTCAGTTTCTTTAAAAGAGAAAGATCATTGCATGCTCCATGAATCACATGGTCGCCGTTGAAACATCTCTCTAGCATTTCTTGAATTCATGGTCAGAGATATTCAGAGCTGAGGGGAAAACAAGTGCAATCTCAAGACCCCCAATACACGATCGATGGTTTCCACAGGGACAAAATTATCCATTTATGAGTCTTCCACCAATTCTCGGCGATGATGATGAACTCATCATCAGTAGCGATCAAGCAGAGAAATTGCCATATGATATGATTCGGGAAAGAATATTTCATTTCTCATTAGAGTCAGTGGCAAAACTAAAAGCAAAAGCAAATGCTGAAGAAATACCAGTGAGATTTCTTCCTTGAAGGCTTTGTCTTTTCATACATGGAGATGTATCACAAGGGCTCGAAACTTTTGGTCAGATCGCAAAACAATCTTCTGGGTTGTAAGAAATACCAGATCCTCGTTAGTTCCACCTAAGTCTCAAGACTGCTTCGGTGAATATCTGCAGGCAGTGGCAACAAAAGCTGACCGTGGTGAATTGCTGGGACGAAGCCTAGGATGGGCAGCATGGCTACTGCATCACGCAGTGATCAATCAGACAAGTGCATCGCATGAATGGATTGAATCATTGGTGCAATCTGGAGAACTACCTTGAGATGCGCGTAATCCTGTAGCTAGGGCTGTCAAAGGTCGGGGTTTGGACTCAGACCCCATAATTTTTATCGGGTACGAGTTGTGAAATAATTCCATTATCCGGAGTCAGACTTGGACCCGTACCCGCTTACTCTAACAAAAAAGCAGGTTGGATACAGGTGATCTAGAGAACTACCCTGAGATGTGCCTGATCCCTGTAGCTAGGGTTGTCAATAGTCTGGGTATGGACACAGACTCGATAGTTTTTTTCGGGTACAAGTTAGGAAATAATTTTGTTACCCGGACCTAGACCGGTACTCAGGTAGTCTAACAAAAAAGTGGGTCAGATACGGAATATAGGATTCCGACCCATATCCGACCCAGACTCAAACAATACATTAATAATTATAAAATATAAATATTTCTAAATACAATAATAATTCTTTTACCAAATTAACAAACTCTAATCTTGTTGGGGCTATAATGGAGGAAAGCCATAAAGAGTTGGTGTTTTATTGGAAAACGGGTTTATTTTTATTTTATTCGATAAATAAATTTGTTTATGGGAAAATGGATACTCTATTCTTATAATGAAAGAAAGCCATAAAGAGCTGATCTTTTATGGGAAAGTGATACTTTACAAAAAGTGACCGCGATTTGGTTTATGAAATTACCCCAAACCAAAATTTAGAATGAATTTGTTTGATTTGAAACCTCAAGGGAGTGTTAGTGCAAGTGTCAAAAACCTCAAGGGCGGTTTCTACAATTATCCCTTTGTTTTATAAGAATTGTTATATTAGGGGTAAATTTGGAATTTAATTGCATTTAATTCTGAAACACTCATCAAACCAATTCTGAAACACTCATCAAACCAAACATCAAGAATTGGAATGATGCTAATTCTAATGCGTGAATCAAACTAGATATTGGAATGAAAAGTTTAATTGCAAACCAGAGTCTATGATTCCATTTCTATTTCCGATTCCAATCTGTGAAACAAGCACCCCTAATTTTTAGAAAATCTCCAAATCTAAACAAATCTAAGATTTCAATATGGTAAAATTAGTTTTTAGAAAATCTTCAAATCTAAACAGACCTATGATTTCTATATGGAATAGAGTTTCTCAATGAACATCTTTTCATAGGTGTCATAGAGTTTATTGTATAATTAACCTTTTTTACCTAAAAATAATCGCATTTTATTGATTTTCAATAAAGAAATCTGTACAAGCAGCTCATAATACATTAGAACTGCTAGTTCTCACCATCTATACTTGTTTTTGCAGCTCTTTAGTAATTTGACATTGTGCAGGATTTAGCGGCTTCTTTTGTCCTCCGTTACTGCGTAAGAGTAGCATGCTGCTGCTAACTAGGGATTGCTCTTGCATTATCAATAATAGCTCGTAGTTTTACGTCAAAGAAGAAGTCATTGCCTAAAATATCCAAATTGATATAGAACCGACAGCAGGAATAAGTTTCCGGACTGAGTACTATCATCTTCTCATATTTTGTTCTTGGAGGCCTAAACCTAATCAATTTTTTTGCATCGCCATAAATCAATTAATATTTCTTCCATATAAGATCAAGAAGCTATTAGGGTCTCAAGGTTTACGTATACGTAGACAAATTTTGTCTGCTTTACATATAAGATCTTGGATCCTCGTATTTTTCAAATAATTTTTGGATGCAAACTCTTTTTTTTTTTAATCAATAATCATTATACTTTTGAAGGCATGATGACTGTTAACATGGTTGGGTTGAATGTAAAAAAAAAAAAAAAAAATGGTTGGGTTGATTGTGTAACTAGGCAATAATGTAACCCTTATGCATAAGATGTAAGTTGAAAATTAGCGTGTAGGTCTAAATACAGCTTTGGTCAATAATTATTTTTCCTAGAGAAGTGAATATTTTCTCCAGGTCATTAGAAACGAAAAAGGTAAATTACATATAACCTCCCTAAAGTTTTAAATTTTACCGTATGATTCCCTAAATTTTTAATATATCCACATCATCCCCTACGATTTTATGCAACCTGAAAATAGATAGAAAGCACGACTGATCACTGCGATTGAATTAAATGCTCTCCAAAAATACGTGTGATAAAATCATAATATCTACTTAATTTGTCTATAATTTGTATGAATATATACTTTATTGCTGCAGTTTTTGCATTTATTTGCAAAATTACCAAGAGTTTTGTTCAAGGTGATAAGATCGTGGTTCAATTTATTATTTAAATAAGAACAATACTGATATTTCAATTAATGACATTATGGAGGCTATTTTCTATCAAGTTTCTTATTTACATGGAACTACAGGGAGATGAAGTCGATATTATGAAATGTTAGATAATCATATGGTAATGTGCGAAACTACAAGAGGGTTACGTGTAATTTATCGTTAAAAATTTTTAACTCACTTACAGAGAGAGAAGCTTTGCAACTCCAAGTTTGTATATCTACTTAATTAGATGGGGTCTCTTGCATCCTCATCTATTCAATCAATCATGGATAGCATCTTTTACCCTATAGCTTTATGTCCACTTGGACGAGTGAAGGGTCCTGCATGTCATGATATCAATGATTTAACTTTAAACAGTTTATCAAATAAATTTAGTACAGATCATAAATGAGATTCTCCTTTTCGTTAGATTTTTTCCATCGATCTCTCCATTTGTTCAATATATATCTTAAGTGCTATAAATTTATAAAATCAACACAGGTTATAATATATTTCATCACTTGTGTCAATTATACATAAAACGATGTAGTTTTAACTTGAATTGGCAGTGAAGTGTGAGCGTGTGTAAAAATTTGTCAATTTATAAAATTTTTTTATTTTTATTAACTACATAAAGCTAGCACATTTAGAAAAAAAAAAGTGTCACAACAATCAGCCCTTCCAAACTGTTGTGTTTCCATATTGTTTTGGGACCATTCCATGTTTATTATGTCGATACGAAATCAGTCAAATTTCAATTAGTGCCCTTCCTTCTTGTGAAATATTTTTGTCATCAAAATAGACAAATTAGTTTTTGATTCTATTTATTAACATGTAGAGATTTGATTAATGGTGAAAAGTTTGGTGCGGCGACAACTTATATTAAATAGTTAAAATAATTTTCACTTTGCTTGATATTTTTGTGCCAACAAGTTGGAGCCTGTAAATATAGAGTAATGCCCATGGAAGAGGAACTGTTCCTGCTAGTTCATAGTCAAAATTTAATTAAAAAAAAATGTAAGGTTCAAATTTTATTTTGTACCTCAATTTTTCACCATTATATATGAAACTCATAAAATTTTGTTATATAATTAAATATTATTAAAAATAAATAATATCGTGTGAAATTAAAGTTACGTCGTATATATTTTGCACAAAATTACCTCCAACGATTTTTTTTGATAATCGTTCGGCCCTTGTCCAATGCCCATTCATTTGATAATCGCATTCTTCTTTCTTTTTTTAATATTGACATTGATTGACACTAACATATCAGACACCCCGAATGTGACCATTCTTGTCCTTTCGCAGAATCTTAGAACCGGTCCATACTAAATTATTGTCCTCCTGCCGAATTTTGGGAATTGGGACCAGTCTTTCTTGTGAGTTCCGCCTTTTCAACATATCAACATAATAATAAGTAGATAAAGAGCGAAGAGCTCTGATGACCTGGATGGTTTTCGTCGTCCTCTCACGTGCGCTGTGCGTGGTTCCTGACGACATCGTTTTGTGTTGTTCGCCAATGTGTTCCTCGCGCATGACTCTTCGAACTCAAACCCTAGGTCAGACCAAAACGCCGCCTCTTTTCCCTTCCCTTTCTTCTCCTCGTCTCTCTCCTCAACCTTTCTCTCCGATCATTCTTCTTCCTCTCTCTCTCTCTCTCTCTCACTCGATCTTGACCTCTTTATTTTCTCCTCTGACTTTCTCCACCACACCGTCTCCCTCTCCTCTAAGAGCTCCTTCTACCCCCAACATCACGAGTCCCCCTTCTCCCACCTCCCTGTGATTTCCTTTCCACCTCCCTGCGCTTCAAGTTCATCGTCGTCGGATCCCCTCCCAGCCTTTGGGAGGACTTTCGATCCCACCACAAGATCCTAGGTTAGACTAAAAAACGCCGCCTCTCTTCTCTTCTTCCTTTTCTCTTCTCTTTTTTTTTTCCCGTTCCTTCCTCTTCCTCTCTCCTGTCTGTATTTTTCCCTTAGACTCTCTCCGTTCCGTCCTCCTCTGCCGCCACATTTTCTCCCTCTCCGACACCCAGCATTCTTTTTTTCCTTTTTTTCCCCCGTTCCTTTCTCTTCCTCTCTCCTCTCTCTATTTTTTTCCCCTCAGACTCTCTCCGTTTCCTCCTCCGCCGCCGTCGCCACATCATCTCCCTCTCCGACACCCAGTATCACAAGTGCCTCATCTCCCACCAGACGTCTGCATATATTTCGTCTCTAGGGTTTCCTTAAATTTCCTCCGCTGCCGCCGCTTTCTCTTCTCGTCTTCTTTCTTCGCCTCACCTTGCTCTCAGAAGCTCCGTCTCCTCTACCTTGATCACCGTGGAATATATATTTTGTCTTGCTACGTTAGATTTGCTCTGTATTCATGTTTTTCTCCTCCTCTGTATTCATGTTTTTCTCCTCCGTGGAAAACTTGTTTGATGCTAATGGTTCTTGTGTTTTGTTGTGCAAGCATTTTTTTCATTGCTTTTAGGAGACTGGTTTGTGATTTCTTTGGTAGTTGGGATTTGGACTCTGTAAGCCGTTTGTTTGGCTGCCCCTCTTTACTTGTCTTTCCCTCTCCTCCCCCTCATCAAATTTCAGCCACATCTTCTAATGTAGCTCTCTACTACTTACAGACGGAATCCGCAGTAGAAGTTTCTGAACTGAAAAAGGAAAGCTAATCTCAGGGAGATAGACAGAAGAGAAGGTACGACGGCGTCCAAGATGCAGAGTATCGCGGTTCTTCAGACCGAGAATAACCTCGCAACCGGAGGTATATTTTCTTCAACTTTCTTCCTTCTCTCAATATCTCAATCTCTCTTTCTCTCGCTCTTTTTTCTTTTGTTTCAATTAATCTGAATTTCTATCTACATTTCAACGGAGTAGTAATGTATCGTCCTTAATTGGTGCACAACATTAGGAAATCTTGTTCTCTTTTGTTGTTTCCCCTCTTTAATAATCGAACCACTGCAAGAAAAAAACCGACCTTGGGAATTATTTTGCCCTAATACCCATTGTGGGTTTCGTAAATTTTGGTAATTTATTATATTTAGCTAAGGGAATTGGGGGTTTTGGTATAATTTGTGTAAAATTCCACAATTTTTCGGCTAGCAGTTTGGGCTTTAGAATTGCTGGCTTTGTCTGAATTTTTTATCTCTTCTATATTTAATGGATATCTGAGGATCATTTAGTATCTGAAACTAATAAATCTGCCAACGCTTACAGTCATGAGTGTAGAGTTAACTAAATATGTTAACCTCTTTATGAATAACTTTTTAAGGACTTTTATGCTAATTCTTCGCATTCAAAAAGGAGAGAAATGGAAGAAACATTATTTTCTGGTATTAGAGACACCTGTGGGAAAGAAGATGGTAGCAAGTTACTGACCCCAGGTAGTATGAGATGAGATTGTATTGTAATTGAGCAGGGTTCACTTATCATAATAGATTTAATTTTGTAGTTTTGAACTGATACATTGTTCTTTTGATTGACTGAGTGGCAATTTGGGAGCCATGCAGTTTGTTTTTCTTGTTTTTATTTTCTTATAATCCAAACTTGAAAAGGATTTGTTTTTTCTCTTCCGAGTGATTGTTTGGTTTTCCAAAGATTTAAATTTTCCAGAGATTGATTGTTTGGTTTTCCGAAGGTCAATCTCTTTAACCCAAGAAAATAATAATATTAAACTGAAAAACAACAAAAATGTTGTCTTGGGAAACTATTGTTAATTTACATGGCTTGGAAGTTGAAATTGCCAGAAACAAGAAGCTCACTTTCTCTGATGGTCATATTTCTTCATCAGGTTGACCATTGCCAAATAGAAGAGCTTAGCCACAGGACATCTCATAGCAATAGCACGTCTTTTTGTTGAAAAATTTGATTTTATGGTAGTGTTTGTAGGTTGAGTTATGACCCATGATTTATGCTCAGGCCCTTAAAATGGAGATATATAGTTAAGAAAAGTATAAAAGATTGGGGTGGCTTCAACATTTACCTTCAACTAATTTTCCTTGTGTTTTTCCTTTTTGAATTCAGCTTTGTGGAAATTATGGCTCCTGTTTTCTCGCGGGATGCTTGGCGATGTGTTTGGCATATGATTCAAGTTCCCTTCTCTAACTTTGTCTTTTGTATACGTATGTTTTAAGCCTTGTTGTACCTCCAACTATTTTTGCTTTTAGCTGCTCTCATTAGCCTTGGTTCTTTCCAGCTTAGAGCTCACACTGATTTTTTACTTTCAATAACATTCCTAGAATGATTTGGTGCATGGTTGGGGATTGGATTTTGCGCTAAGGAGATGTGTGGAGGTCAATGGTTTTATTTGTTTCTTATCACAGTATTATTTGAAAGATTTAGAAAAGAAAGCTTGTCTACCTGCTTTTCATATTCCTGTTGGAAGGAGAGATCTGCGGGCAGTGGCATGTAAAACAGATAAAATTGGAAAACATGTATTTATTTCAAATGGATGTCTGCGTATTATCAGTTTCATTGTAAGTGTATTTTGCCTGTGTAGCCTGCACATGAGAAAATTGATGTGGTTGACTCTCAGTGGATAGTTCATCAAGTTATTCCTTCTCTGGGAAGTCAGGCCAGTTAACTACTTTATTACAACCATCGGGACTTGCTTTTCCTTTTCCTAGAGGTGATTAAAATAATGAAGTTTAGTTGTTTGCAAATGTTGTTCTGTTCAACTTTAATTTCCATTTTTGAGCAAATGGTTCTTCATTTATAATATAAGCAACTTTTTAGCAGCAACCCCCTTATTTACATTTTTTTCTTCCACGTCAATTATCCTACTTGTCCCTTGATCTGGTTTCCCCTCATTTAGATTTGTTTTGTTGATAATGATGCTAACAGCTTCAGCTTCGTTGATTCCAGGGTCAATCTGAAAATGGAAAAGCTCCTTGGCAAGGGGTATGTAAGCTGTTACTTGTTCGGTTTCCATTTCAACCTTTCTGTATATTTTTTTATTGAGGCCTTTTCTTTGTCCTTCATTTTTTTTTGCAAAAGTCAACTCTGAAAGCTTCTTCATCCAATTTTATGGTAATCTGAGTTATTCTATATCACCTACATTCTAACAATCATGTTTAAATTAGGATTCATAGGTCTTATATCTGCACTCTGTTTGAATTGCATGATTTTGCGTTGAACTGAATTTCATTAGATTTGTCCAAACGTCAAGTAACTAGCTTGAATTCTTTTCTATCTAATTTGGTAGGTAAGAGAGAGGTGCAAAAGTGAGTGGGCGCAGTTTCAAGATCGCCTAGCCAATGCAGATAAGAAATATATTGAACAGCTTGGGAGTACTTACCTACTTTCTGTTTAATATTTCACTATTAAGTTGCGAATTTGGAGACAGAATTTCTATTATATGCCAAATTTCTAATATTCTGGGTATCTCTTTTGCAGGAACGAGGTATTTGAACAACAGAAAGTTTTGTATCCTTTTAAGTTTTCTTGCATTTGGGTATTGATACTATTCACCTTTATTGCTCTGACTCCTACTTCTTTGCACAAGTTCCCTTTGACCTGCAATGCTTCTTTACTTTTTTTTTTCTCTTAACTTCTTGTAGCTCTGATTGGAAAAGAAATATAGAGACATTGGAGAAAAATAGTGTAACCAGTCTGAGGACATTGATCAATCTTGGTTCTGAAGTGTACATGCAAGCTGATGTGTATGTCTCTTCATACCATATCAATGTCATTTTACTTGGTTGTTCATAGGATTAGTATACATTTGAAGTGTTTATCAAGATATGAAAGAATTCATTTCTCTTTTGTTTGAGGTGTGTGTGATTTATTATAACTCTATATGTTTGTGTCTGCCTATGCACTGAAAAAAAAAAGAGAGTATATGGTACCTTAGTTGTTCCAAGTATGTCTTCAGCTATGGTGAACAAAGTGTTGTAGGTTCTTTGGGCTACGAGCTTGGGTTTTGGTAGTCTCAGTACCAGATGGAATCATGTCAGATTGATATAGGGTGCAAGAGAAGTGTTCTTTACTTGATGTGATGGTGCTTACTGTAAACAAATATGAGAGATAATTGCAGAAACAAGGCAAAAACAATCAATTATGGGGACAGTTCAAAACTTTAACAGCTTACGAATAAGCGATCGAACCTGAATTTATCTTTCCTGATTTCCAATTTTCAACTCTAGATATTCCCCAGGCAATCACAACCTTCAAGCTTCTCATCATAACTATGCGTCTTTGGGAAACATCTGTTTTTTTGAACTTGATAAGTGGAGCCGATCCATGTATTCTTAAGGTAGCTATGTCAATGATTGAGTTGGAATAGAACAAACAAAAGAGAATGATTTATAATGTCAATGTATCCATGAATGATTTATAAGCCTATGTGCTTGATTTATCAACTCTAGATTTATTGAGTGATTGAGTTGGATCTATTACAATTATCTATTGATTGAATACCTTGAGCTTTTTGCCAAAATCTGTCTCAAAACTGATTTTGATTTGTAGCTATGGTACATTTGCTACTTGAGGTTGTGATGGTTATGTTGATGTGTGGGATGGAAACAATAAAAAAAGGCTGTATCAGTTATTTTTCCTTAACTGAATTTGAAATGTCTTCCGCTCCATGACGACATTTGTCAGTTTTTTATCATACTTGTTATATTTGTCAAAACAAGGGTTCTTTTTTTTTTTTTTTTTTTTTGCCTCTGAATTTGAGATTATGATTTCTTTGTTATACTAACTTATTCTATTGTTCGTGGAAATTTATTACTTTGGCTCATTTTTCTGAAAGTGATCAATTGGAATGCTAAAGCAAGATGAATTGTATTAGAGATTTCTTTTTGTTTCAGACTTTGACAAATGCTGTTTTATTTCACTTTGTGTATTTCAAGCATCTCTGGCCTCCAAAGACGAAAATTCGCTGAGAAGATAAGAGCAACAGCCATGATGAAAGGATTATTTTACTACCATTACTTCCTTACAAGGACTAAGGACAATTCATGAGGTCCTAGAATTCGGTATTTATTACTACCATTATATATATATATTTTGCTTAGACGGTATTTATTATGGCTGATATGGTTCCTTTTGTTACTTTATAAACAGATCATGAAATCTCAGAATCAGTTCTCCATCGTATTGTCTCATCTATGAATCCATTCCTAAAACATGACTGGAGTACATTCAATTGCTTCTATCAATTTTATCTATCAAAGTACAAGTACAAGCTGGTATAGTTTTGCATTCTCTAACCTTATTAACTCTCTTTCTTTTGTACATATGTGTATTTACTTATCACAATTTTTTTTCATACATTTATAGGATCTGCCAGAATTTGCGAATCTAAGGCTAAATGAAGATAGTACGCCGACTATAACTCTTACAAATGGTCATAAATATTATCATGTTGGTATGACCAGTAGATGTTTTGATCAAAACTGGAACCGTTTTGTTATTGATCATGATCTAAACAATGGCCAGATATTGCTTTTTATTCCACAATCCAAGACTCCCTTTGCTGTGCTGGTATTTGACCGCAAAGGAATAGAGAAGTTGTTTCCATGGCAGTTTGCATTTTCCATTTGATGGCACATCTGATTTACGCTGATTCTGCTTCAACGCAATGCACGGCATTTGTTGTATTTATGTTCTTAATGGAAAAAAGTTCTGGTTAGAAAAATGCTTCCAAAGCACTGCAAATTTAATGTTTAGCAAGTTCCTACTATTGTTTAACGATTGAAGCTTTCATAATGGATGTTCCAACGGCATTACTTATTAAACTTTGATGTTTAGCAATAAAGTTGATCCTACCTTTGGTTACAAAAAACAAATGGCTGGTATATATTAAATTTAGAAAAATGCTCCATTAAATTTGCATTAACAAAACTTCAGAGTTTGGAAGTTCCTATTAAAAATTTAGAAATTTAAATTTGCATTTCAGACTTTGGAAGTTTAGCAAAGTTTAGCAAATTTAGAAATTCAGGCTTTGGAAGTTCCAAAGCACTTCCATTAAATTTAGAAATTTAGCAACTTCCGTGAAAGTTCGTAGCCAAGAAATATCAACAAACCTTCAGACTCATGGTATATATATACGAAAAAATGTACATTTCTAAATAAAATGTTATTTTTATTACTTCAGAAATGGAATGGGCATTTTACATTACTATCGCGCGAAGCGCGTTATTGCCTCCTAGTGTTAAATTACTCAGGCAACTTGTTCTCCATTGTCACGTCTCTCATTTAATTTTTCTTTTATATCTTCTAGAGTAGTAGATATAATTTTTAATTATAATTATTTTAAATGTAATTGTCTTGATATCCAGCCATCATTCGTACGAGGATTTGCGGTTGTTAGCCATCATCCATCACGATGTTGAAGGATGGTGGAGGACATTGAGGAGTAGAGAAAATTGGGTTCCATGGATTAAATATTCCTCAGGGTGCCTTTCAAAAAAACAATATTGTAATATTGTATTTTAAAAGCTTTACTAATACAATATGTATTTTAGAGTGTTTTATAATTTAAACCTTTTTCAGTTACTTTTTAAGATTTAATTGAAATGTTTTTGTCAATATTTTTAAATTCAAACCAATAAGTGAACCAATCAAATGTCCAGGTCACGATTCAATTGATCTTTACAATTCAACCTCGATTCAAGGACTTTAATATATCCAAAACAAAAAAGAAAAATTCAAAAGCTCACATAAAGTGGAGAGAAGAATATTTAGAATTTTCTAAGAGAGCCCTCGAACGGACTTAAAGACTGCTGGTGTAGATAATACGAGAGATACCACCCCATGTTTAACTTTTTGGTTAGGGGCCATTTGTAACCAAAAAAAAAAAGGAGGTTTAGAATGTCCAGGCAGCTCCCAATTCTTCACACCTATCATCTTCTTCATTTTTAGGTGCGGCCAAAACATCAAGAAGCTTGACCATAGGAAGTCGCCATCATCATCATTGATGAATACCAGATGCATACCACCGTATCTTGAACAAAGTTCACCACAAGGCATCGCCTTTGTCATTTAAACTATTTCTAGAAATGGAAATTAAAAACAATCAATTTTAAAAAAAAGTCGTTGAAGAATGTCTACAAATAAGAGGCCAATCATCACCATTTAATGATTTAACGCACATTATCATTTTCTAAATTAACTAAAATCAAACTATTTCTACAAAACCCAACAAACGTTGTTTCTTTTCATCCCACAAAAGACAAAAAAAGATGAAAATCAAGCACTAAGAAAAATCATAAGAATATATATATATATATTTATTTATTTATATTAGGACGGGTGCTTTTAGGAGAGGCGGTGTTCATGGGGCAAGGGGTAATTTTAACGGTGGGTGCTTGTAGGAGAGCCTTAGGACGGGCGAGTATACACCGCACCAATTCCGCGCCCTGTCCCTCGCCTTATATATATATATATATATATGTATGTATTATAATTATAGATATATCATATTTAATATTATTAATTATAATAATTATATTATTAGTTATAGATATCAAATTATGTACATTTAATATAATTAGTATTATCAGTCATACATTTTTTTTAGCCAAAAGTGTAAAAAATTAAAGAATGTTTTTGGATAGGATATTATTTGAAATATTTTCCTTTTGTCATTAATCAAACTCTCTTGTTTTTCCTTTTTTTCTTCTCTCTTAAGCCCAACATTAGAAGAGCCATCATATTGTTTACCACTTCGGAGAATAATTTGTCTTGCAATGCTCCTTTGGATTGACTTGGGTTTTGTTTGGTAACTCCCCTTGGTTTCTAGGGTTCACGGTGTTGATAATTTGGCCGAGTTGGACTTCAACATTTTTATACATTGAGGTTAATTGGTCTATTCTTTTCTCTAGTCTTTCAAATCTCTCCAAGGTTGTTTTAGCTAATCTATCCATATTACTAATTGTAGTATTAGCTAATTTTGTAATGGCCATCTCCTATGAGGGTTTGGATTAAATAGGTGCTTGTTTTGATTGAAAATCCGGTGAATTGGTTGGTCATTGTTAATTTCCTTGGTCTCTCCACTCGAAATTTGGATGATTTCTCCATCCATAATTGTAAGTGTTGGAATAAGGATTGTTTTGATTCGGTCAGTTGATACACTTCATATATTGTACCTGTGCAATAGTAACACAATTAGTACTTTCATGATTTTTTTCCAAAAAGAGTACAACATGCTACATTACCATTAGACATTGGATCAACCTCACCTTATCTATTTAGCACTTTCATCACATTGTCCATTTTTGTACTTAACATGTTTAAAACGTTCAATTCATTCATTCCTACATGTCTTTTAGTGTTACCTCTATCGTTAGTTCATTGGTAGTTATTGGCCGCCATTTCTTCAATTAATTGTTGAGACTCATTGGCCGAATTTCCCATAAGTGCTCCACCGTAGCAGCATCAATATGAGTTTTCATAGGGTATATTAAACCATTATAGAAAATTTGTACAATTAGCCACTCGAGAAGTCCATGATGTGAACATTTCCATTACAACTCTTTGTACCCCTCCCAAGGCTCATATGATGATTCACCATCCTACTGACCAAAACTTGATATTTCCATGCGTAGTTTAGCAGTTTTTCTAAGTGAAAAGTATTTATTCAAGAAAGCCTTCGATAAATCGGCTCAAGTAGTGAAAGTGTTTGGTGCATGTGAATTAAGCCACACCTTAGCCTTATTTCTTAAAGAGAAAAGAAACAATCGAAACTTTATAGCATCTTCACTAACTCCATTAAATTTGATTGTGTCACAAATCTCCATAAAATTAGCTAAATGACCATTTAGATCCTTCATTGTAGTGCCTCCAAATTGTTCTTGTCAGAGAATTTGAATCAATGCTGGCTTAATCTCAAAGTTATTTGCATTGACCGCCGGTTGTGCAATACTTGTTTGAGATCCTTCCGTATATGGCAAAACAAAATCTCTTAAGACTTGTTGATTGCGATTTGTGTGTTCCTCTGCCATTTCTTCTAAATGTGACAATTCAATGACAATTTCACCTTCACTCTCCACTTCTTGTTGTTGAGCTTGCCGTCATGCCAAACGCCTTCTCCTATTTGCCATTTTCTCAATTTTAGGATTAAATGGTAGTACGTTACAGAGATCGGTGCATGCATTACAAAACATCAAAGTTAAGACGAGTTAGTACAAATTCTACTACTTAATATAAACTAGTAAATTGGCACCGTTTATACAAGGAAAATTAAAACTGTATAAGAATCGAAGACAACCTAAGAGGGGTGAATTAGGTTGATTAAAAACCTAATTAACTTATGGGCACTTTTTGCTCAATATGAAATTTACTCTCTTTTCTAAGTGATCACACAATGAATCAATTAATTAATGAACAAGATCACTTGAGAGAAGTAGAAGAGATAAGCAATGTAAAGATCACAAACGTAACAATAAATAAATAAAAAGAAAAGAATTGCAAACCAATTAACTACTCAACTCCTCTTGAACTTGTAAATTAAATCAAACAAGTTTTTACAAATTAATGAATTACAATCACTCTTGTGTACAAAGGAAGGTTCACCTCCTTCTTGCTCCAAACTCCACTCGATCAAGTTACGAAGTTTTACAATCCCTCAGGACAACCATCGCAGAACTACACTCATGAAATATGTACTCATAAATGAAAAGTTTACAATGAATCTCACACCACTAAGACTACAAATCTTCTTTGGAAAGTATTTTCTCACTAAAATCACTTTAGATCTTTTGTATCTTTAGTGTACAAAAGTTATTTGAATTTCTGATCATACTCTATTTATAGGAGACCAAGAAAGTGTTTCATTAATGCTTCCAACGGATAGAAAATAGTTGAAGAGTCAACTAGCCGTTAGAGTATCGGACGTTCGGTAGTCTGGTTTCTTGCGTCCGACAGCAGGCAGTGAGTTTGAAAAATCTTCTTCAATTCTATTGGACGTCCGGTGCTTGTGTCCGAAAACAGACAATGAGTTAGAAGGAATATCTCAATTCTATCGGACGTCCAGTATTGTCTTTGTGAGCGTCCGACGGCTTTCGTCGAATTTGAACGATCCTATCGGACGCCCGATACTTGCGTCCGATCGAGGTCAGTGAGTCAGGAGAAATGTATTATTTTCTTCGGACGTCCGATGGTGGAGTTTTTCATGCGTCCGAAATTGCGCAATGATTATCGGACATCCGATAGCTTTCAGCAGCCTTTGTCCCTTTTAATTGCACTTGATTTTTGAATCTAATTTGCTTTATAACTGAAAATATTTCTTAAAAAAATATTAGTATTATCCATTGTTTTGTAAAAATATCAAAAACTAGGGACTAAGGTCAACATTCTCCCCCTTTTTTATGATGACAAAGCAATGGATGGAGGAAAGAAAAAGATTGTGCATATGAGCTTAAGCTCCCCCTCACCCATTGCATCAAAAAATGTTGGTAAGAAACTTATAATCTCAAAATAACTCCCCCTTTCACATAGAATCCGTTTCTCCTCCTTTTTGTCATCATAAGATGAGAGTAAAAACCAACAATCATACTCTAGTAATAATAATAGGGAATCCAGTATTTTAAACAAAAACAGAGAGATGATTCCAGAATTCAGCAATCACAAACATACCAACATATCACAGAAAATTGATACCAAAAGAAGTATCAAACAGAGAAATGAAAGAAGAATCGAACAGAGAAATAACAATC